AATCCCAGTTCTTCCACTGGGTGACTTGGGCCTCGGTTTGCTTGTCTGCAAAATGGGTAGTAGCATCATTCACATAGCGATAACAATAACAGCCAATGGTGGCTGCACGGACATTGTGACAGGTACAAGTCTAAGTGTAGTGAAAATTCATTTAAGCTTCCCAGTGATTCTGAGAAGCAGGTGCTATTATTGTCCCCATGTTATAGATGAAAAGCAGGCCCAGACCAGATCCCACCACACACCTCCCCACACTGGCCAAGGTGGGTAGGAAGCTGACGTCCGGTCTGTTCCCACATGGGTAAAGGACTTGGCTAGAGCCTGGCCCACAGTGAGCACCCAGGCCCGACCATCTTTCTGGTCCCTGTCACTGTGAGCAGGTGCAGAGGTACCAGGTGCTGCTGTCACTGATGCTCTCCAGCCAGACCAAAGACCAGGTGACAGCGGGTGCCATGGAGCGGCTGCGGGCCCGGGGCCTAACGGTGGATAATATCCTGAAGACAGATGACAGCACACTGGGCGCACTCATCTACCCCGTGGGCTTCTGGAGGGTGAGCCCAGCCTGTGGCAACGAGGGCCAGGGTTGCCACTGGCCTGGAAAAGACATCGGGTCGCTGAGGGCGGCTGTGGGGGTGGCAGGAGGCTGGGTTGGACATTTCTGGCCACAGGGGCCTGGATATGAGTTCTCACTAGAGTCCCCCACCCCTCTGAGCTGTCCACAGGGGGCCAGGCAGTGGGGCCTCAAGCCCAGGCCTTGGAACTCCTTGGCCTTTCCTGTTTGCAGCCCACCCCTTCCTTCCTCCACCTCCCCACCCAGCTGCCTGGCCCTTCCCTTTCTCACTGAAGCTGCCCGTCCACCTTTCCCTTTGTTTACTCCGGGCGTCCCTGGAGCGTGTCACGCCCTCCCCTCCGGAGCCCAAGAGGCCACGGCACAGGGTGGCCAGTAGGCAGACCTATTGAAGGTGTCCAGGCGGGTGTGGCTACTTCTCTGGGCACCGGTGCGGGTTGCAGTGTGTCAGACGGGTTTTAAATAGCCCCATCTGCTCAGGCACAGGATGGGAACCGCCCAGCTGGCCTGCTGGCTGGCAGGGAACCCCAGACTCCAGCCTTCCTTCCTGCAGGTCCAGGTGCTGCTGAATCCAGCTCCTGGCATGGCCGGCCCTGCTTAGCCTGCCTGGCCTCTGGGGGTGATGATGGGGGAAGGGGGAGCACAAGCTGGACCCCCAAGACATGCCATTGGCCCAAACAGGTGGAAGGCAGGGGTCCAGGCATGCATTGGGCTTCCCTCAGGCTGCCTGTTTCCCTTGGTTCATTCCTACCTCCTAGGACCGTGGTCGGCAAACTGCGGCTTGCGAGCCACAGGCGGCTCTTTGGCCCCTTGAGTGTGGCTCTTCCTAAGCCTTAGGAGTACCCTAATTAAGTTAACAACAATGTACCTACCTATATAGTTTAAGTTTAAAAAATTTGGCTCTCAAAAGAAATTTCAACTGTTGTACTGTTGACATTTGGCTCTGTTGACTGATGAGTTTGTCCTAGGGGGACAGGAGCAAACAGGTGCCTCTGAGTGTGTCCTGGGTCGCTTTGGTCACCTGTGCTTCTTCCTCGGGCCTTGTCCTCCCAGGTTGGACTCCACTCCCACCTCCAGCACTTGACACACAACCCCCCCCCACCCCCATTTTTCAGAGCAAGGTGAAGTACATCAAGCAGACCAGTGCCATCCTGCAGCAGAACTATGATGGGGACATCCCAGCTTCTGTGACAGAGCTGATGGCACTGCCAGGCGTTGGGCCCAAAATGGCGCACTTGGCCATGGCTGTGGCCTGGGGTACTGTGTCAGGCATTGGTGAGTGGCATGTGCCCATGAGGAGGGTGGGGCCGGCTCTGAGCTTGCTGACTGCTGTCAGGGTTCCCCACATCCTCTGACCTGTAACCCCAATTCAGGTCTCCTCATCCACAGCTCAGCCCAAAGGGTCAGAAAGATACTCCCAGCACTGAGCTAGGCCTGTCCTGCCCTGAGATGAGCACCTACTGTGTGCTGGGCTCTGGGGATGGACTCGGTGTCGGTGGAAGTGATAACTCATCCAAGAGCTGAAGGGTAAGGCGGGGCCAAGAGGAGGAACAATGTTCCAGGCAGAAGAACAGCATCTGCAAAGCCGTGAGGCGGGGGAGAGGGCCAGAAGCAGGAGGCTCTGGATGCGTGTGGGCAGATTAGGGTGATGTTGTGAAGACGGGGAACCCAAGGAGAGGAGGAATGGGCTGGGGGGATGGGGAGGAGGACTGGGAGTGGGGGAGCCTCTTCCCGGAATCCCTTTCCTGGGTCCAGGCCTAGCAGCCTGGCATCGGAGGATCTCTGGGTGGAGACAGGATCTGGGTCAGGGTGCAGCGGCTGCTTCCTAAGGTCTTTGCCCAGAGAGCTGGGGCTTCTGAGGCCCCCGCAGCAGCCCAGCCAGCCCAGAAACCCAGGCTTGACCCGTAACCTCTCTGTACTCCCCGAACCCAGTGCCTCTCTGGGACTCCTGCAGGCGGGGCTGGGAAGGGGTGGGAATCCCCTCAGCTTCCACAGCTTGTGTAGCCTGCCCCCTGGGGTGGGGCCCTTTCCCAGCACTGCCCAGGAGTAGAAAGGCAGCCCCGAGAGCCAGAACGGGGCCAAGGAGGGGCCAGGGCAGAGCCTGCCCCTAGGGCTCCTGTAGAGGCCAGCCTCTCAGCAAATACTCAGCTTATCTGGGCAGCTGTCCTCAGCTGCTCTTTCCCGGGAGTGGTCAGGCCGGTCTGAGTGAAGGGCCCCTGCCCACCGCCCTACCCCGGGTGTCAGAATGTCACCCTTTCTGGTTGCCTGTGGGCCCGGTCAGCCGTAGGGAAACCCTGGGGAGGGCAGGCTTTGCCTCCCAGGGGCTTCCCCAGGAGAAACTCCCTCGTGAGAAAGCTGATCCCAGCTCTGCCTCCCCACCTGGGTGGCCTTGGGCAAGGCACTTGGCCTCTCTGAGCTTTGGCCACAAAGCAGGGGACACGGTGGTTGCCCTCCTGGCCCAGCCCACAGGAGGTTCACACAGTGTGGTGTGACCCTAGGTTGGGCCTCAGGGAGCACAGTCACCTCCATGTGACAGAAGAGGAAACTGAGGCAGGGGATCCAAGGGTGCAACCCTCCACCTGGGCTTGTTAGCAGCAGGAGAGAAAGCGGATGCAGGGACTGGCTTTCTCTTTGACAGTGAGGAGAGAGATTGCAGATAGCGGGGCAAGGAGGCCTGGGTGACTGGGTGCCCAGGATGGGCCCTGGGGTGGCTGTAAAGGGGAGCAGGGGCTGCAGCTGGCCTGGCTGTGCTGCCCACTCTGTTCCTTACAAGTGCTGGCTCTGCGGGCAACAGCCTCCTGCTGGCACCCTCAGCCCGTGGCTGGGCCAAGAGGCACTGTTCCCTGCACCCCAAGTGAGGGCTCAAGTCCTCTGGTTCCTGCCTACAGCCCCTGCCCAGCAGTATGGTGGCCTGGTGACCCACTCTCATGTCTGGCTCGTACTGTGCAGTTAGGGGCCCTCAGAGCTCTGTGTGGGAAGCCAGGGCGACTCACCAACCTGGGCTAATGGGTGGGACCATGGGCAAGAACGGGGTGTCTGGGCCTGCCCCACACTCACCCCACCCTGTCTCCAAGCAGCAGTGGACACACATGTGCACAGAATTGCCAACCGACTCAGGTGGACCAAGAAGGTGACCAAGTCGCCGGAGGAGACCCGTGCAGCCCTGGAGGACTGGCTGCCCAGGTGCCGCAACAGGGCAGGATGGGCTCCCCTTCCACCTTCCCTCCTTCCCTCTCTCTCTCTGCATTAACCCACTCCCACCCCACAGGGACCTGTGGAGTGAGATTAATGGACTGTTGGTGGGCTTCGGCCAGCAGATCTGTCTGCCTGTCCGCCCTCGATGCCAGACCTGCCTCAACCAGGCCCTGTGCCCAGCTGCACAGGGACTCTGAAGGCCCTGTGCCCAGCTGCACGGGACTCTGAAGACCCTGTCTTCTGCGACTGGGTTGGGGAGCTGCAGCCTGTTCATAATAAAGTTTGGGGTTTTGCAACAGTTGGGATCTGTCTGATTTCTACCCTGGGGAGGCCAGCATGTGGACGTGACAATCTGGGCTGTGTACGTGGGGGGTGGGTGTAGGAGCCCAGATTGAAGAGATGGATCATGGGAGCCAGCTGGAGCCAGCTGTTGAGAAGCCTGCTGGTGACGCTGGAGGCCTGGGCTTCCTCCCTCCCTCAGCAGCTGGCTGAGGGCCCAGAAACACCCCTCCCCTGAACTTGTGCACCCTGAGAGCCTGCCACTGCCAGGAGGCCCTACCCGCCGTGCTTACAGAGCCACCTGGCCTCCCAAAGCACACCAGGAAGCCCAGGCCGGGTGCCACAGGCCTGAGGCCTGACCTTTGTACCTGCTGGGGGGCGGGGGGCGGGGGCTATATGAAGGCAGAGGGTGCCCATGGGATGCCAGGGGCCCAGAAAGCTTCACAGGGGAGGTGTTGGCAAGGCAGCTGGACCTCACCAGGCAGAGGAGGTGAGCAAGGGCCTCGGGGTGAGAGGAGGGCAGGACTCCAAGAGCAGGGATCCCAAGTAGTCTGGAGAGGGCAGATGGAGAGGCCGGAGGACCTGAGAAGTGTTGGGACTTGGCTGCCAGATGGATGGATTCGGGGAGGTGGGGGTTTAAGAACGATACTTGGCGGCCCGCAGACCAACGCGTCATGGGTTCGATTCCCAGTCAAGGCCATCTACCTCCGTGGCAGGTTCCCCAGCCCAGCAGGGTCCTGTGCAGGAGGCAACCAATGGATGTGTCTCTCTCCCCGTCCTCCCTCCCTTCTACTCTAGAAGTCAATGGAAAAAATATCCTCGGATAAGGATTAAAAAAAAAAAAAAGAAATGAGACCTGTTTCCAGCAACTGAGATTTGGGGATGGGACTGCTAAGCTGCTACCTTCCGGCCTGGACCACCATTCCCCCATCCCCTGAGGAAGGACAGAGGCAGCCAGGGGTGTGAGGACGGCCTGTTTATTCCAAGGGCGCAGATGCGCTATGGCTTACAGGGCAGACGGCAATGTCGGTGGGTTTCAGGGCAGAGTCTGTGGGGTCTACTGGGGGAGGGCGCCAGGCAGGGCCCAAGCCTGAAGCCGGGAGGCCCTCCTGGGGCAGGCTCTCTCACACAGCCACCCCCCCCCCCGCCCCAAACCGGGGGCTGTGGCAAAGAAACAAGGGGCCTGTCCAGAGGCTGCCCTCTTCAGGAGCAGGGGCCTCCATCCTCCGGCCCCTCCGAGAGCCCAGACCCCTGGTGCGGTGGGGACATGGGGGGCCTGGCCTAGCGAGCCCCCACACCAGGGAAGGCAACGAGGAGGCTGAGGGGAAGCTTCTGTAGCCACATCTGGCCTCCCAGCCTCACCTGAAGCCCCCCAAATCGCCTGCCCGCTGCCTCTGTCCCAGGCAGTTCCTGGGACTCCCACCGGCATGGCTGCTGCCAAGAAGGAAGGGGTGGGGAGGAAATGGTTTGTAGAGAAAGGTTTGTTTTATTGCAATTATTTAGAGAACATGTCCTGGCGGGGGCGGGGCTCTGGTATTAAGTGAAAACATGTGTGGAGCTGGAGCTCTTTTTGGAAAAAAAAAAAAGAAGCAAAACCACAAACTCCTTAAGTCAGCAGGCCCACGCAGAGCAGCAAAGGCCCGGCCCCCAGGGTCACCGCTGCCCCTCCCTCTCCCCAGTGTTGCTGCCACGTTCCCCCAGCACCCACGGGAACGGTAGGGGGATCAGGACAGGGACTCACTGGGATGTGGGTTGGTTCCTGGGTGGCGGTGGGGCCACCACGCTCCTGGGGGTGAGGATGCACCTGCTCCAGTCCACTGAGGCTTGGGGAGCTCTGGTCTGGGCCCGAGGAGGGAGGCCCCAAGTCCGTGCGGGGAGAAGGCCCGGGTCCAGCACAGGCAGCGAGGGGTTCAGAAGTTGCTGAAGATCTCACGCTTCTGGTTCCAGTCCATCTGCGGGGCCCGCTTGTTGACCCTGGTGGCCTTCGCCTTCTCCTTGGCCTCAGCCGCCGTGGGGCTCAGGTGGAGGCCACTCTCCTGAAAGGGGTCGTGCTTCCAGGTGCTGCGGTCCTGGGGGCGGACAGGGAGCCAGCGTGAGCCCAGGACCCAAGCCCCCAAACTGATAAATAACCCTTTCCAGGGCGCTCACACCAGAGGCCACCTGGTGGGGCCGAGGCAGCGAGCCCAGGAGGGCTTCCTGGAGGCAGTGGCCCCACTGCCCAGGTAGAAAGCTCCATAAACACCCACCCCAAAGGCCTCTCTGGCCCCCTCCCAGAGTGTAAGTGCAGCAGAGGAAGTGGATGGACATTTGCTACCTCATGGTCCTTGTCTAAGCCAGGCAGATCACTTCGGGATGAACACGCTGAGCCACCATTGAGCTGGGAAACCAAGGCCAAGGTGTAGGAGCTTCAGCGGCCCTGCCCTGTCCTGTCACTATGTTCGCACACGCACATACACGTATACCCGCACACACAGAGCTGCATTTGTTCCTCCCTTCAGCAGTGGACACCGAGCCTCTACCATGCTCCAGGCCCAGTGTAGGCAGGACACTGGCCACTAAACAGTGAGCAGGCAGGTGGCCCGGCCCTGGCCAATTCACAATGGGGAGGAGCCATTTCGATGCATGAATCACCCACATGCGTGTCACCTGGGGCAAAGCCAGGGCCAGCTTCCTGAGGACAGACGGACACTCCAGGTACCCAGACAGGGCTGGGCAGAGGGAACAGCCAGGGCAGTAGCCGGGGCCGGAGTGCCGGGTGGGGCAGGGGTGTGGCTGACCCAGGACAGGATCCACAGCGGGCATTAAAGCTGGGAGTGTCAGGCCAGATTGGGTGTCACAACCTCAAATAGACAAGGACAAATGGGGTGGGGGTGCTCTGTCAGGCTTAGGGACCCCTAGAGGTGCCACTCCAGTCTCCTGGACCCACCCTGTCCACCTCCACCCATCCTCTCACCTGGGCAGGGCTGGTCCCATTGGTGACCGGTGATGGCAGTGGACCTGTGGGGACAGTGTGTCAAGGGCTGCCCAGCCCCCACGCTCCACCCCCACCCGAGACCCCCAGGGCAGCAGCCCACCTTCCACATGCTCCTCGGTGGGTGTGACCCGCAGCCTCTTGAAGTGCTCGTCCGTGTCCGGGTCCACCACCAGCAGCCGGGCCTCATCCTCCCTGGCCTTGATGCAGCAGCCCACCTTCCACATGCTCCTCGGTGGGTGTGACCCGCAGCCTCTTGAAGTGCTCGTCCGTGTCCGGGTCCACCACCAGCAGCCGGGCCTCATCCTCCCGTGCCTTGATGCAGGCAACCACCTCTGCGTGGTGGCGCAGTCCCTCCACATTCTGCCCGTTCACCTGCCGCCGGCAGCACAGGGCAGCGCTGAGGCCAGGCCCCCACCAGCCCCCCGAGCTGCCTGGCCAGGTGTGGCATCAAATATTCATCGATGTTGTCACCAGCCACGGCAGCCAGAGGAATGCCAGCTCAGGTTCCCAGAAACTCCCCTCCTCCCAGGGCGGACCTGGGGCTCACACACAAACAGGGGACGCGGGCACAGACAGGCAGACGGTGGACACAAGCACAAACACGCACCCAGGCGACGCGGGCACCTGCCACCCCAACGCCCTGGTGATGGGTACCTCAATAAGTCGATCTTGGGCGCGGAGGCCAGAGTGGGCGGCCGGCGAGCCCACGTCCACCGAACGGATGTACTGTCCTGGCCGGGACTTGTCGCTGTGCAGGTTGAACCCATAGCCCTGAGGGCCCTTGCGAAGGTGGCAGAGCCTCGGGCGAAGCTCCCTCGGGGGCCCGTTGACATCCTGCAGGCACGCGGGACAATCTTCAGCTCCGACCTCCCACTCCCAGAGGCCACCGACACCGCCCAGGGCCTCTGGCCCCCAGTGTGCAGCCCAGCAGTGGTGGGGGGCAGGAGGGAGCCACAACCCCATCCTGGGCATCAGGCCCTGCCCAGTGGCAGAGACAAACACTGTACACCCACACCCAGCGGGGAGGCGGCGGCGGGGAGGCATTAGGCTGCCTGTGACTGAGATCCAGCTGTGACATCTTAGGCAAAGTCTTAGCTTCTAAACCCCCAAAATGACTTCTGATAGGGCCAGGGGCCTTAGGGATGTTGGGAGAATGAAAGGGCACAAGGGCAGCACTGAGCACAGGCCCGGGTCCTACGAGAGGCCAGGCGAGACCAGCTGCCACTCAGCTCCATGTCCCAGTTATCCAAACATATGTTCGCAAACATGCTACACAGACACACCAGGCTGTCCGCACGGGCCCTGCCTGCAAGTCCCCCCTCCCCACCTCCCTCTGCGAGTGCAGGGCTCGCAGAGTCCTGGGCCTGGACAGTTTTGTTTTCTCTCCCACAGGGCTGGTGGCAGTGCTACTGTGTTTGCTTTCACATTCCAGAGCAAGCTGGAGCCACCCTCACCTCCACTCCTACCCCCACCGGCCCCGAGACTGGAGGATGACCGGCTGGGCTGCTGCTGGGGCTGCCGCCGCCCGCAGGAGCCCGCAGGAGCCCGCAGGAGCCCAG